TTTGCAAAATTCATTGAGGAGCATGTATATTAATTGTTTGTGAAATCATGTCTGTGTGTGTGCGTGCGCGCGTGTGTACGTGCGTTTGTGATTTAATACATGTGTGTATGTATGTGTGTGTGTGTGTGCACATTGTGTGTGTGTGTGTGTGTGTGTGTGTGTGTGTACATTTGTGTATATGTGAAATGTGAATCTGTTTATATAAATTCGTGTGTGTGTGTGTGTTTGTACGTGAGTGTGTGTATATGTGTGTGTGTGTGTTTTTCGATGACCAATCATTTTATAATTCAATGATGAATCACTGATCTTTTTATTGCTCGTGTTTCGTAACTTTTTTGTTAAATGCGTTGAAATGATAATCAACTTTATTTAAATAATTAATTCGTTAATAAATAACGAACAAGAAGAAGAGGATTTATTAGTTACTTGATTGACGTGTTTTATTTTTAATTCTGACACTAATCGTTCTATGGGTTAATATCTTTCAAAATTTAATTTTTATAATTTTTAATTACTCCGTTCGTCCAATTTGAGTGTTGAACGATTTGATTTTCAAATATAAAATTTTTTCTTTGTTATATTTTGTGGAGACGCATTTTTTTATAACAAAAAGTTTTACCACTTTTGATTGAATAAATATCAATTCGAATTTGTTTCTAGTTTTCGTATTCAAAGAAAAATGTTTCTACTCATCTATTTTTCAATTCAAATTCAAATCCCATACCCTTACGATAAATGACATTAACATTTAATCTTATCACAAATTTTCAACCTGGTTGAAAATGCTAAAGTTCAATTAGTTGAATTTTGATTTTCTTGAAACTTTTAGAAGAAGCATGGTTTAAACGGTTATGGATTTCATAGAAACATTTGACTCACGCTTGACCTGAGCGCTGACTTTGAAGCGTCTGCCACATAGATATATATATATATATATATATATATATATATATATATATATATATATATATATATATATATATATATATATATAAGCATAACCTGATCTTTAACACATTGTATTTGTTGAAATGTGGTGATATTCAACAAGTGACACTTGGACTTCACGAATGTGATTTGTTGTTGACCGCGATCTCTTTTTCCTGCAATCTTTTCAGTAGTTGTTAGATTTTCCATTCTTTCCATCCGCATGATGTGACTTTGACTTTAACTGCCCGCGTCGGTAATTTCCTCTTTTCATAACCGGACTGTTTTTAATACATCCACATGCGAAGTTTGATAAATTCAACTAATTTTCATAATTTTTCTCAGTAGCGGAAAAAGTGTAATGGAAAAACTATGACCATAAATCCGATAATCAAATGTGAGACCGTTTTGAATTATATAATTTTTAAAATGGGAGAAAAATTTTAAGGTGAAGCATTTATTTTATTACTTTATATCCGTTGAATCACTTAGTTATAAAAGTCTGCAACGTCTAATGAAGATAGTTCAAACTTGAATATAGTTTAAATACCTCCTAAATTATCTTTAGAGTCCAAATATGTCGAATTTTTCAATCACTTTAGATTAAAATTTGTAATTAATAACAAATATTATCTAAATGTTATTCTATATAATCTAAGTATGTGATATAATACACAGTCCAAAGTTTAATTTTCAAGCACAATTGTTAGGGGCTAAGGTTCTTTTTGGCTCCTATCAACAAACAAAGCGAATGCGTATATATGAAACGCTTGCTGTGCGCGTTCATCATTTGCATACAAGAACTCTGAATGGAAGGATATCTCAATGGTCGTCTATTCTAAATTGTTATTTTCTCTGGTTGTTCTGTTTATTTAATTCAGATAAAAAGGTTTGTAAATTTTTATTTATATTGTTTTATTGATTATTTATTTTAATAATTTTTTAATTGCTTCGTAACTTGTGGAAATAAAACTTTATTCAAATTCAATTTTCATGTGTTGTTTTTGTTTGAAATTTCACTCCCGGTTTCTTTGTTCACATTCTTTCCTATCAAATTTAGTATCTATTTGCAATTATTGGATGTTATTAAGTTAGTTTATGAGAACTTTCGGAATGAATTTCTTTAAATATTATTTCATTTGTTCTTTACAATAAAAAAGTATTAACTAGTAATAAAGAAAGATTCTCCAACCAAACAATTACATTACGATTACATTGATTACATTGCAATTACAATTACACCTACATACAGAATTCAAAATGCAATACAACAGTTTTTCTGTTTTTTAATACCTTAATATTTAAATTATTATTTTATATTATTCAGTTTTTTGCTACCAGAAGCATTGTTTATAATTAATTTAATTAATTTTATTAAAAAAGGCTACAATAGAAATAACAAAACAGTAAGAAAAGCAAACAAACTTATATTTTATCCATTCTTTTCGTTAGCTTAAGGCGTCTTAAAAGTTTATAAAAAAAATTGTTTTGCAATAAACTAAAATCCACGTGTTAAAAAATGTTTTACTTGGCACTTTTTTTAGATAATTCCTTTGGAAGTTTTTGTAACTTG